GATATTTATGGACGCTGTGAAGATTTATTCCAACGTGATAGAGTATTACAACTAGTTTTAAGCAATAAAGAATATTATAATATACATAATAATAATAAAATCGATATTATAGATATAGTATTCAACACAATATCAATAGAGAATCAAAATCAATTATTAGATATGAAATTATATTTTTTGCCTGATTATGTTAAGCAAAATGACCAAACCAAAATAGATAATATAATTAATAATAATAAAGATATCAATAGAATAATAAAACTATTAGAGTATATTAGAAAAAATATCAAAAAGGATAGATTGGATGATGACGATGATGACGATTATGTCGAAGGTGTCCATTATGTCGATGGTGTCCATTATGACGATGATGACGATAATGTCGAAAGTTTTCAATTCAATTATTTTTCAAATGAAGAATCAATCAAATTAGAAAATTTAAAACTAGTTTTACAAAACAACACAAATAATTGGAAAAAAATCAAAAATTATTATTCTAGGGTATCATTTAAAACAGATATAGAAACAATCAAATTTTATTTCAAAAATCAAAACCATTTAAATTTTATGGAATCTGACATTTGGGAAACAATAGGGGATATGTTTCATAAGTACGTTTGCAAAATAGATAAAAAAAAGTTCTGCCAACTAATTGAATCAATACCACCATGTAAATATGAAATTTATTCATTATGGAAGGAAGTGGTTAAAAGAACAAAAACAACAATACCAACTGAAATAATTACAGACTCTATTAAATATAATGACAGTTCATGTGACAATTATAAGAAAAATAAAAAATCACCGGGAATAACAACAACATTACTTGTAGTCAAAGATAAACAAACAGTCGATTTAATTTCAGATATCTTGAGTTTGTATGAACAAACAAAAGGTTTCGATCCCGAATTCTCTATGTTAGATATCATGGGCTCTCATTATAATGATCTACCAAAAATAGATGAGAACACCTTCAAATTCAATAATGTTGAATTATTTAAATATATAGATAAAAAAATTTTTAAATTATTTAATTTAAATATTTTCAAAGAAACACCCATAAGAACCAAGAAAGCTAAGGAAACTAAACTCATTGACGATACTTTTTTGGAAATACCACTCAAAAATGCCATGGAAACATTTAATTTAAAAGAATTAAAATCAATATTCGAACTTACCAAAGATTATAGTTTATCTAGACTATACTATTCATACAAGAAACCAAATCGACCACTATCATATCAAGATATTACACAACTCACTGAAATCATCAAACATTTTATCAACATCAATTGTCCTCAAGGTGTTTATTATTGTTTAGATCTAATGCCAGAAGGAGATTATGAACACACTGAAAAAGATAACTATTTAACCAATTTATTTAATAGTTGTGAAGTATTAACCACTGTATTCGCAATTCAATCAAACTATTATCAGTACACATCATCAAACTATTAATCAACAAATATCATTACAATGCAGATGTTGAAAACAAATTACCAAATTATATCAGTAGCTTTATAAATGTTGAAAACCTCAAAACTAATAGAAATCGTCCTATTCCTTTGTCTTTTTACAGTAACCATTATTGTGAAATTGATTTTCAAACACAAAGATATGATAATATTAATATTGATGATGTAATATCAATCATTCATTTAATATTTAATAGATCGAAGCAACTACAAAATAAATCCCAAAATAGAAAACGACACGATCAATATCAAATATCGATTTATGAAAATTATATTTTTACTCCCAACACCCAAAGTCCATATTTATCAAGGTGAAGCTCTTAAAATTGTTATCAACATATTATTCAAAATATTAATTCAAAGTAAAGGTGAAGTACCACTTGAAAAGATCAAATCAACTTATCAATTCATAAACAAATCTGGTGTAACTACAGTTCAACAATCAACATTATTTTCAATTTACTATCTTGCAAATAAATCATTAACACTCATCAAATATTTACTTGGTTTACCAATCTTTCGCAAAGTTGGCGACCTTTTGGCCCATAACTGGGATGGTACTATTTTTTACTTTAAAACTCGTAATAAAAAAAAGGGTAATATAATTTTTAATTTAAATGATTATATAGATCCAGAAGTATTTTCATTTGAATATATATTTGGTAATAATAGTTGTCTTTGTTGTGATAATGGTGCATCATGTATTGATATTATAGAAAAGCTTCATCAAAATATTTTAAACAAGATACTCACAACCTTCAAAGAATCACCTCCTTTCAAAACAATCACTGACATTTATATTCAAACTATAAAAACCTTGTTCTTCTTTCAAAGATATGATTTGTTTTTAAAATATTTAGAGGAATTGGAACTCATATGCAGCAATTCAGATGATATCATAGAAAGAGATCGTTTTATTGTCATCTCAAACATTATTCAAGCTGGTGACCACACCTTAATGTCCACAGGGGTAAATGAATGCAGCGAATATTGCATTCGTTCAACTTTAGGAATCTGCGATTTATTAATATATAATGTCGAAAATAACACCAATATTGGCCAATCTTTAATAAAAAACAAAATTATTATTAATGAAAAGGATTTTCATCCAGATACAGTATTGGCTCTTCAGCAGGTAATATTTGACGATAAAAGCAAATTTAGATTCTCATGTAACATCAAGCCATACCAAATACCATTCAAACTATATCAATTCCTCCTCAACACCTATCCAAATAATACTCTATTAAAACCATCGAAAACAATAATTGATCATGGTAGAAATAGAGATAATATTGTGTTCCTAAAACAACTCTATCAAAATAATCTTATCAATGATGACATCGATAACACCAACAATGAATATAATCAACTACTATCCCAGTTAAAACAAAAACTATCAGAACATAGAAAATAAAAATTGAATAAATAAATTTTAATATAAAAAAACTTTAAATATTTCTTTTATTATTTTTTAAAAAACTATTTTTAATATATTTTCGATGAATCTAAATGTTTTTTTTTTTTTAATAAACTATTTCTTTTTTTTTTAAGCTTTAGGAAAAAATTAAAAGTTGGTGTAAAAATTAAATTTTTTTTTTTTTTTAATTTTTTTTTATTTATCTCTATTCTTATTTTAATTGGTAAGGGATATGTTCAAAAAAAAAAAAAATGAAAATAAATAAATGAAAAAATATAATTTAAAAAAAATTAAAAAAAAAAATTTAAATTTGGTAAAAATGAAAAGTTGGTGTTAAAAAAAAAAAAATTTAAAATTTTTAAAAATTTTTTTATTTTTTTTTATTTTTTTTTTATTTTTTATTTTATTAAACCATTTATTTATTTTACAACAAACTTGTTCATTTATTTCTTTGAGTTTTTACCATCAATTTGAAACATAAACCATCACTATATGTTTCTTGTAGATCAGCTAATACACAAATTATGAGGAAAACAAACACCTGAAAAAATAATTTTGTGTAATTATAAATGAATTTTTTAAGATTATATTTTTTATAAATTATTATTATAAACAAAAATAATTTTATTTTTAAAATAAAATATGGATATTTTCTTGCTTTTATGAAACTATTGGAATAAGGAAAAAAAAAAAAAATAATATTATTTTATAAAATAAAATATCTATTTTTAAAAAAAATATTACCATTGGTTAACATTGGTTGTTTTAAAATTTATAAAAAAAAAAAAAAATTAAATGAAATGAAATGAAAAGAAATTAATTTAAAAAAATCCCCTATTTTCGAAATTTAAACTAAAAATTATTTTTTAATCCCCAAATTTTTAACCCAAAAATAATATTAAATCCAATTAAAATTAAATTTGGAGGTGTTAAATTAGATGGTTATTGGAGAAAACCAAAATTAAGGAATCGGTAAAATTATTGCCGAACCCATTAAGGAAGGATTCTATTGGGAAAATTAATTTAGTTTTTTTAGGACCCTTTAAAGGATATTGTAACTTACCCTGGTTAAGCGACTACCCTATACATCATGGACTTGAAAATAGCTCTGTATCAAGA